CGAGCGAACACTGTGGTGCGCGTGATGCTGTTGGGCGCCTGAAGACGCACGACGGCTCGTAACTCATCCTTCATTCCCAACAGAAACTGAGTGACAAAAAACTTAGGACTGAGAGAAGCATCCAGTGCGAGCAAATTGTACATATGAACTTCAAACTGCTGTCTATATTCTGCCACTGTCCCTGTTTGCCGAAGCTGCAGCAGATTGTGCATTGTGGACTCAAATTCCTCTGGACCAAATTCCTCCACTACAGCATGTTGGAACCTGTCCCAAGTGATATCTGAATTTGTCTGACGAAATGCTCTCAGCCACAGTGCTGCGTGCCCTTCAACATAGAGAGCCGCCGTCGCTACCCAGTTGTGCGGTGGCACCCTGTACAGCTCAAAATAAGCTAAACAGCGATCCAGCCAAACACGGGGTGCATCGCCGTCAAAACGGGAAACTGGTGTTTAGGTGGCCGGACGGAGTATTCTTCCCGCGGTGTGGTGCTGTGCTCGTCGCGCAGAGGTGGTTGATGGAGTCGATCCACTACTCCAGGCTGATCTGGGCGGGCGAGCAGGGGAGGCCCCTCGTTGGTGAGCCGTGGGAGGAAGGCGTGGCCCGTGATGGCCCGTGGAATCGGGAGCGCGCTTGGAGGCGGTGCAGGTTGCTGGAGGCCGAGGTGGGCCGCCGATGTATGCACACCCTCCGTGGAGGGGTCTTCCACTTGTGACCCCAGTGCCGTGACGGAATAGGCCGTTGGGGAAGCAACCTTGCGAACGTCGTCTACATCGGCTTGAGTAAGCCCGATCTGCTTGGACAGACTCTTCAACTCGTGGGAGACTTGAGTGTTGAACGCTGTCTGCGCATCGGCTCTCTTCTCCGCCAATTCCTTCTCCTCGTCAAATCTGGACAGGAGCTTCTCCATAAGAGCAGTGAGGTTGGCTGTCTGTCCTTCCATGGCGGCAATCACTTGTCGCGCCTGCGCGGAGGGCTTGGAGGGCGCCGTGGTACCCGCCCCGAGCAGATCGAACCCCGCCGAGGATTTCGAGCGACCTCACCGGAGTGAAATCGCACCTACGGCGGTGGGTGTTACTGATCGGACCAAGGGAGTGAGGAAAACCGCGGTGGAAAATTTTTCGGGAGAAATTTGCTGGCTCTGAGATACCAAATGTGACGACCGATCGACGAAGATCGTCGCCACAAAGAAGGGGATTGGAGTGGGGATGAGGAAGAACCGAGAGGAGGTGAGGTAGGAGAAGGAGATGAGAATAAAGGGCCTGTTCGGCAGCTCTCCAACTTCAATAAATCCACAAATCCAGCTTCGTTTTTGGATCGCCAGCTTCCGGCGCGAGCGCTAGCGCTCAGAAATTCGTTCGGCCCCTCGCTCCAGCTTCTCGGACGTGTTAGCAGGCCAACTTGGCTAGGTGGGCTGGAGCCCAGCCGGCTCAATAGGCAAGGTGGCCTTAGGCCCAGGCGAACACACGAGAACAGGGGAGATAGAAGTAGCGAACCGGTACGTGACCCCCTCGATTCACTTTGCGGTGGCAGCTGCTCGTAAATAAAGCCAACTCCAGATTCCCGATTTCTGAGATCGCCGAAACCGTCGCTCCGATTTTTTGTACGTGCGTGCCGCTCCGCTCCAGGAAGCCAGCTTCTTGGAGCTGGGCCGTTCGGGCTAGCTCCGCTCGCATATTTGCGGAAGCTGGGAGCCAGCGAGCTACCGAACATGCCCTAATTCAGACGTTTTCCTTTTCTGCCGTGCCGTGCCCAACAGAGGACAGGTCTATTAGTACAGACACACACACCATCAGACTTGGCCACAGACGGCCCAAGTCGGAACCCGTGGGCTCAGCCCAACACACTCATAGCTTCTCCTTCTCCTTGCTAGTCCACCGCTACAAAGTAGCAGGTGTGACATATATATTTTTCTAATAAGGTAATTTTTTATATAGGCAGTCAACATGAGATTGACGCGGGGGACCCACTTGGTCAAATACCAGAGCACGCAGGTCATTTTCCTAGTCATTCTCGCTCGCGCCACCGTTCCCCATATCCCCTCGCCGCCGCCGCCGCCGCCGGCGGCGTCCGCCGCGCCACCACGGCGCCATGCTCCGGCAACGTGGCCGCGTCCTCACCCAGCTCCTCTCGTCTTCCTCCGCCTCTCCCGTGTCCCATCTCCGCCGCCTCCTCTCCGCCGCAGCGCCCGCCATCTCCCCAAGCATCGGGTTCGCCGTGGAGGACTACCTCGTCCGTACCTGCGGCCTCACCCGACCACAGGCCGCCAAGGCCTCCCCCAAGCTCTCCCACCTCAAGTCTCCCGCCAAGCCCGACGCCGTGCTCGCCTTCCTCGCCGGCCTCGGCCTCTCCGCCGCCGACGTCGCCGCCGTCGTCGCCAAGGACCCGCTGCTACTCTGCGCCAAAGTGGAGAAGACCCTGGCCCCCGTCGTCGACGGGCTCACCGGCCTCGGCCTCTCGCGTCCTCAGATCGCGCACCTCGTCTCGGTCGCCGGCGAGAAGTTCCGCTGCAGAGCCATCATCGACAGGCTGCACTACTACCTGGCCCTCTTCGGCTCCTCCGGGAAGCTCCTCCGGGTTCTCGACCGCAGCCCCTACATCCTCTCCTCCAACCTCGAGAGGGTGGTCAAGCCCAACGCCGTGTTCCTGAGGGAGTGCAGGATAGGTGCTTGTGATATTGCCAAGCTGTGTGTCGCTCAGCCGAGGATGCTCACCTCCAATGTGGAGCGCGTCCGGGCGATGGCGGCAAGCGCCGAAGGCCTAGGTGTGCCCCGTGGCTCCAGGATGTTCTGGCGCATGCTGAATGCCCTTGCGTTTCTCCGCGAGAAGGATATCGCCGCCAAAGTGGAGTACTTGAAGGACACTTTCAGATGGTCCGATGCTGAGGTGGGCATTGCTCTTTGTAAGGCCCCGATGGTGCTGGCGTTGTCCAAGGACCTGCTGCAGAGGAAGTCGGAGTTCCTGATCTCTGAGGTGGGGTTGGAACCGGCATACATTGCTCATCGGCCGACATTGCCCACTTACAGCCTGGAGGGCCGACTAAGGCCCCGGTACTACACTTTGAAGTTTCTTAAGGAAAATGGATTGCTAGATCATGACCGAGACTACTATTGTGCAGTCATGCTGCGAGAGGAGGTATTCATGGAGAAGTTCATATGCCCCTACAAGGAAGCTGCACCACAACTCGCTGGGAAGTGCCGGCTAGATTCAGATTTACATGAACCAAGGCCTGTACGAAAATTTCATAACCGGGTATGACACAACAGAAGTTTCACTCTCCGCATCAAGCCGCTCATTCCTGATTCAATGTTGTTGGCCTAAACTTAATGGTGGTTGGCTGCTATCTACAATCTATAGCATGTATGTTACGTTCTCATTTGGTGGTGCTAATCCAGGATGAAACTGATATTTTGATTTGTGAGCCTTGGTATGCTCGTTATGTCATTCAGTAGGAAGAAAGCATTGCGCTGCTATTAACTTGCCCCTCCTCCTACCAATGCTTTGAAGTGAGTAGTATTTCTGTGCACACTGTGTCTTTATGTTCTGAAATAGCCATGGCAGTTTTCAATGCAATCCTTAATCTATCTTTGCATGAAAGAGTGTTCTCATTCTGGCCATGATGATGATACGATGCCTCAAACTTTCCTTTGGATGAAAATTTTGAACTTCTATTTCCACAAGAAACATTTTTGGATTTGTTGATGGCCTATTTGCCACAATGTGCGGATCACTGTTGAGGATGCAGTTTTGATCTTAGTTTGGGCTTGCTCTAGTTCTTCTAAGATGAGAATCTTCATTCTTCCTTAGATATTAACTTTAGTGAAAGCAGGCCATTGCTCATTAGTTTGTATCAGTTGATTTGTTTATTTGTCTCATGTATTTTTGGATGGCCTACAAGCTGATACTTTTCCAGGGGCATTTGATCTCAGAACTGAATAGTTGAGTAGTAGGCTAGTGGTTTTTTTATTGACAACAGATATTTCAAATGCCCTGGTATTCTTACCGTAGAAGCAAATCGATAGTTGTATGGTATGGTGTTGAAAAGCAGATGTCATCTCATACAATAAGGGAATTTATGTTATGGTAACCTTAAAAAGCACAAATACAAGGCAAGAGGATGTGTCTCAGCCAAGTGGATCTCCATAGTTTGGAGCTCCCGTCTTCAGACCTGACTGCTGGATGAATATGCCTATCTGCCTCACATTTTGGTTCCGTTTTTCAGTTTGAGTGAAGCGCCTTGGCTGAGCCGGCTACTGTTCTTGCGCGGAGCAACGGCGAGCGCCATGCCGTCGTGCCACTGCCCGGTGCCATGGGATTGAAACTTGGTGCTATCAGCTGGCACAATTGGGGATAAACGTACTGGGCATTGCTTCAGCTAAGTTCACGGCTGTGTCCACTTTGCCCGGGAAAACATATTTCAAAATCTTGATTCGGCCTATAAAGGTGCCATTTCGATATCTTATCGACCGATAAAACACATTTCACTGCCACTGAGGAGTCCTCCATGGATTTAGCTTCCTTGCCTTGAATAACAAGGCTTCTCGAATGTTCCTCCTACGGAGCGCATGGGCCGGCATGGTGGTCCAGGGTGGAAATCCGGCCTAGGGGTCCCCGGCCGGGCCATAACACCCTAAGAAGCGGAAGGAGGAGACGTCGCGAATGGGGAGGATTGTTACTGAGAACTTGTTGTGGCCCCTTAGAAGTAAAAGAGTTGGGATTTTTGAAAGTTATTTTTTACTCCCCCCGTTTCTTTCTAGTCTGTATATAAAATTTGGCCAAAGTCAAACTTTGTCAACTTTGACTAAGTTTGTAGAAAAAATATCAACATCTTTTTTTGAGGGTATCTTTTTTGTAGACAAAATTCTGAACATCTTTTAGGGCATTTTGAGCTGATCTAAATGGGTCTCTATAGTCTAACTCAGCCCGGCCCATCAAGGTTGGACCGGACGCCACGCGACGCAAACCCTCACCACTATCCCCTCCGTCTCGCCGCCGGCGCCGCCATGCTCCGGCTCCGGCGCAGCGTGCTCTCGAAGCTCCTCTCGTATCCCTCCGTCTCTCCTCTCCACCGCCTCATCTCCACCACGGCGCCGGCCCCCGCCGTCGCCCCCAGCACCGGGTTCGCCGTGGAGGAGTACCTCGTCTCCACCTGCGGCCTCACCCGACCGCAGGCCCTCAAGGCCTCCGCCAAGCTCTCCCACCTCAAGTTCCCCTCCAACCCCGACGCCGTCCTGGCCTTCCTCGCCGGCCTCGGCCTCTCCGGCGCCGACGCCGCCGCCCTCGTCGCCAAGGACCCCAAGTTCCTCTGCGCCGACGTGGGGAGAACCCTGTCCCCCGTCGCCGCGGGGCTCGCCGGCCTCGGCCTGTCGCCTTCCGAGATCACCCGCCTCGCCTCGCTCGCCCCCGACAAATTCCGCTCTAGATCCATCGTCTCCAAGCTGCACTACTACCTGCCTCTCGTCGGGTCCTACGAGAACCTCCTCGGGGTGCTGAGGTATGGCTCCTGCCTCGTCTCGTCCGACCTGGAGACGGTGGTCAAGCCCAACGTCGCCTTCCTGCGGGAGTCCGGGCTAGCTGACTGCGACATTGCCAAGCTGTGCGTCACTCTCCCATGCCTGCTCACCTCCGGCTGGGAGCGCATCCAGGCGTTGGTGCTGTGCGCCGAAGGCCTCGGCATACCCCGTCGGTCCGGGATGTTCAGGCACGCGCTGCATGCTGTCGCGTTTGTCGGCGAACAGAAGGTCGCCGCCAAATTGGATTGCTTGAAGAGGACGTTTGGGTGGTCAGATGCTGAGGTCGGCATTGCTGTGTCCAAGTATCCGATGCTGCTGACTAAGTCTCACCACATGCTGCAGAGCAAGTCAGAGTTCCTGATCTCCGAGGTGGGGTTGGAACCGGCATTCATTGCTAATCGGCCCGTAATTGTCTGTCTTAGCCTGGAGGGCCGGCTCAGGCCCCGGTACTACGTTTTAAAGTTTCTCAAGGAAAATGGATTGCTCAAGGGTGATCCGAGCTATTATACAGTTGTCATGGTGAATGAGAATGTTTTCGCGCAGAGGTACATGTGCCCTTACAAGGAAGCTGCACCATACCTCGCTGAAGACTATGCAACTGCTTGCGGAGGGGAAGTGCCGGCTAGATTCGTATTTGCATGAGCTGAAAACACAAATATTGAAATTTTGATGCTTACTGTACCACATATTCCACTTTATGCAGTAGGCTTGTAAGCTTTGTTTCAGTGTTATTGCCTAACTAAATGTTGGCTGTCTGATATAGTATGTCTGTCACTGCTTGTTTGTTAGTTGTTAATGCTTGATGAAGTTAATTATTGTTAGTTGTTAATGTTTGTATCAGTTTTTTCATTTATTTTTCTCCTATATTTCTGATTAGCCTAATGGCTGATGCTTTCAGTTTGAGGCACAACTTGACTCAAAACTGAATAATGCAGTAGTATATTATCTTTGTACGTCCTATTATCTCCTCCAAATACTATGGCTGGTAAACTAAAGCCTCTTCTGATTTGCACCAATCAGGGGTTACGTGTGTTCTTTAACAGGTATGAATGAAGCTATGCTGTTAATTTGTTATGTCATCATTTAAGCCCAGCAGATTGTTAGAATGTTTAACCTAAGTCGAGCGTGTTATCCAATCTGCCTAGAATGTTTACAGGCTATGCTTTATGCAAACAGAGTTATGCATTAACAGATGCAAGCTGGATCCGCTAGATGGCATCTGATATATTTGTTAGTGCTATAAAAATATATCTTCACAACTATATTGAGCTTTTACTGCTGCCCTTTGTATTAAAACATGTTAATGCTGGATGTGATACTGACAACATGAATTATCAGCTACCTAGAATGTTACTGTCTGGAAAACATAATGCTAACTCTATCTGCGTATTTGACAATTTTCCTACTTACATATGATGCCAAGTGTGCATTAAAGTTTATGCCCTTTTTGTGTGATTGTAAGGCTGTGGCTGTATACCTTTTGATGTCGTTAGCTCTTGTTGCAGTACCAGATGAACTCAATAATCCACGCTTTCTGTGGATTCTGTCTCCTCGTTATGTCAGGTGCCTATCCGATTTTTTCCTTCAATCTTTGGAGTACTGCTATAGAAAATTGACCTCCATCGGGTTTGAACGGATTGCAGATAAATTTTCAGGGCTTCAAGGAGACTGGGATAGGGTGGAGAGTGGAGAGGTGCGACGGAGATCAGAATCTGACTGCTGGCGGCCGCCTTCAGTGGCCGTCGTTTGGTGGTCAGATAGCTTGACCAGGACAAGAAAGCCAGGCAAGACTAAGAGGCAAACTCTTCATTTTTTCCTGTGATGAACTACCCTTATATTTTTTTTTCTGTGATGAACTACCCTTATCATTTGCCACTAGAGCAGTTTGCTCTATTCATGCCCTGTTTAGTTTGCTCTACGAAAATATGCAAAGATGGCTACTAACAGCTGCAAACATGTCATTTCATCAATTATACCGTGTTACCAGTTTAGAGAAAGTGGCAAAGCACATGCTTTCATATTATTTTCTTTCCAAACTTCCTTTTTGTGGTGTTTTCTAATTTGTCTCTCTGTTTCCTGATGCTAACTCAAGTGCTGTTATTTAGCTTACAAGGCTGGTGATCCTCACCATGGAGAAACGGGGAACCAGACGTTGGAGATTTATTAATTTCTTCATATGTAAAAATGGATCTTGTAAGCATGAAGATGTGCCATGTAGCTAATACCATCAAACTCTTGTTACCTCAGCCAAGTTATTTTAGATATATTTAATAATTGCAATATTCTTTAACTACTTGATCAGAACAGCTCCTCATACTGACATGTTACTGAGATATTTCCTTTGTGTTTCCTCTAATAATTTATGGAACCATTTATTAAAAATTGTATCTATGTGGTGTAACCCTACGTGCATGGACTGTTACAAGGTCATGGTAAATTAAGCAGCCCAATGTGTTAATGCAATTGCTATTCCTTGTAGGCATCACGAAATGTTCAGACTAAATTTGATATATCTTATAATTCTACTTGAAAAGATGAATAAGACGAGCCATTCAAGGAATTGCCAGTCTGAAACCATGTAGTGAGTTGAGAAACACAATTGCGTTAGTTGCAGCCAATTCAGAGGCATGCCCGATGAATGTGGTTTAACATGCCACCATGTCGGGTCAAATGCAGAACAGTGGACATTTGTGTATTTGTTCGAAAAGGCTAAATAGTGTTAGTTTCTTTCTGCCACAAGTACTTATACAGTTATACTAAATCTGATACATGCATGATAACTTACTTTCACACTGAGCATTTTATTTTATTTTATTTTGCATTGTCTGGGATAGGAACCTGTGCGCTGACATTTTTTTGTGTGCATTGGCAACCTTCTGTTGTTGTAAAGCTGTCTTCATTTTTACTCGGGGCCTCTAATAGCATTGTTGCAGAATGGTTTACTGAAAGTTTTGGACAACACAGCTGATACTGTTCTATCGACAGTTGAATCTGGCAGCTGCTTGTGCATTCAGTTCTTAATTCTACAAATGAAGATGACAAGACCATAGTTCACGGGCTGTAGATTGGCTTTATAACTCAAGCGATTTGAATTCCATGCCCCTGTTTGTTTGGGCTAAAGCTTCAGGTTTTGCTACTTCTAGCTTCCTAGAAGCACAAGCTGGAACAAACATCAAATTTTGTAAAGGGCGGGGCGCTTGGGTTTGGGTCACCCTGCCGCCACCATTTCCGGCCACCCCACCGGCTGGACCAGCATACCTCGCATTCTGTGATCAGTTCTTCGTAACTGAATAACATCTCTGTCGGTTTGTTCATCATGTTATCCTTCGTATTCTGTCTCGCCATTCTTAAGTCGATATGTTTGTCCGTTCACATGTTTTTCATCTACAGCTACTTGGTGATTCTCCTCACGTCAGTTCTGCTAGATATATCTCAGTAGTTTGTACTCCCTCTGTTTCTATATACATCCGTATGTAGTTCATATTGAAATCTCTAAAATGTCTTATATTTAGGAACGGATGGAGTAGTAGTTTTCCCTCCAAGTCAGTTTCATCCTTAGTTTTATCTCTACTTGGAATTGCCTTAGTTTTTTTATTCCTCTGTGTTGTGTTGAGAGATATTGTTTTTCTTCAACGCCCGCACTGTTCAGGTCTGTTCAATCGACGCCATATGAGATGTGGAATAGGACAAAAATCCAACTTGTCTTTTCTTAAAATGTCTTATAATAAATGTATTATTATATTTTCATTTTGCATGATTAAGTTCATATTTTTGTGCTATAATTGCATTGATTCTTGAATGTGATATTCGGAGGAAAACTCAATTGGCAGCTCCATAATTGTTGTGGCAAAGTGAATATATTTCTTGGTTTTTTTTCCATGGCCTATGCCATGGTCCCTATATAAAATGCCATGTTGAGTTTTCCTTGTGTTTTAATTTCAATAAACATGTATATATCATGGCAAAGTTAACATGTGTCCCCATAACAAAAAAACAATTATAGACAAACCATGCCATTTTTGTGTAGAACCCATTGCATTTTTTTATTAAGTGCATGGCATTTTTATTATAAATAGCATGGGATTTTATTTTTCAAAGCGCATGCCATTTTTTAGCAGAGCATGTCATTTTTATTGTAAAATCATGACACTTTTATTTTTCTGAGCATGACACTTTTATGTTACCAAGCATGGCATTTTTATAGTGTGTCATTTTGATTTTGTAGATCATGGCAATTTTGTAGTAAGAGCATGGCATTTTTTTATTGTTATTGTTTTGTAGAACATGTTAAGTTTTATGAGAAAGAGAATGGTATTTTTTTTATTGCGAAGAACATGCATTTTCATTCTTTCTTTTTTTAGATAGGATGGCATTTTTTAGCATATCATGGTAATTTCATCTTTGCATGGCATTTCAGGTACAAACATCACGGGCACCTTTTTGTGTGCATACATTTTTTTTGTTTCTATATATTTATGGCTAATTTATGTTCTTTTTATATTATTTTTTGTGACTAATCTATGTTTTTTTTTTGCAAAATGATTTTTTGTGCACACGAATGAAACCGTGTGCACATCAATTTTATTTCAAATTAATATGCATTTTTTGGCTTATGGGATGACACTGGGAGGAGGAGGCCCAGTTAACAGCTTGACAGGCTATCTAATCGCCTTGGGGGTTCTCCTCACAGCGATAGCTGCTTCCCTGACAGCTGAACTGTTAGGATTTAATTAATTATAATAATCCCTAACCAAGACGGTTGCATCACGTCCCTACGGGCGCACCCCTTCGGGGGCTATATATATATATGTATTCCCGTATCAGTAGGGCTTGCTTTGCTACTTCTCGCAAAAAAGAAGTAAAGGCTTTGCTACACCTACGTATATTCTAGGTAAAGCTACGTAAAAACTGATTTGGGATGATTTGATTGGAAGGAAAAAATAGCCCGGGCATCACCCTGTGAAAATCATATATTATTTTTGTGTGATAGACAATTGTATGCGTGAGGTTCGCTCCAAATTTCAACTTATTTGGACATCTGAGCAGCTCTTAACAAAAAAGAAAAACAAATCAGATCAGAACAATGTGTGAACAGCAAACTCTTTTACAAATCTGAATTTGTCTTTTTTGCTGAGAGTTGCTCATATGTCCAAATAAGTTGAAACTTGAAGCGCACCTCACGCATAAACTTATCTACCATGAAAAAATAGATTTATTTTACTTTTTTAGTATTTGTTTTGATTTTTTTCATCCGGGGTGCAGATGAGCTCGGGAGCAGAAACGCCGCACTCGTTTAAGTTTACCTAGATCGGTACGTAGGTGTAGGATTATTGTATCAGTAAAGACAACTGTTCGCTTATACTCCCTCCGTTCCGAAATATAAGTCTTTCTAGATATTCCAACAAGTGACTACATATGGAACAAAATAAGTGAATCTATATTCTAAAATATGTCTACATACATTCGTATGTTGTAGTTCATTTGAAATGTCTAAAAAAAACTTATATGTATTTAGGAACGGAGGGAGTACATTGTGTGGACTCTCTCTCGATTGTCTCTCGTTTTTCTGTTAACAGACAGAAGGTCAGTTTTGTTACGAGACGCCCTAGCTTTTGCTTGAGATTCCAAAGCCCCAAACCCTCCTCCTCGCACGCCACCTTGGCCCCGCTGGCTTCCCGCCTCCCTCCGGCCCCTCATGCTCATGGCCGCCGCCACCTCGGCCGCATTCTTCTCGTCCCGGGCGGCCACCGCCCAATTGCCTCACGCCGCCTCGGCCGCGGCCCGCAGGGGGTTTGTCTCCTTGGGCAGGGCCGCCGCCGGCGGTTTCTCCTCCGGTAATGCATGGCCCTTCTCTTTGGCTTTCGTCGCGCTGCTGGTTTGCTTTGCCACTCGATCGATCGGGACAATTTAAGCAGATGGTTGAACAATTTAAGCACCGTTATAACTTTGTTAGATTGGAGGTGAAAACTTCTGTACAAGCGCTTAACAAAGATGAAAGATCTCTCTCTCTCTCTCTAATTAAGCACTCATGTAGGTATAAATTCAGGGCTAAATTATCTGTTGGAAGGTCTTTTCTCTGTACCTTTTGCAGTAGTAAACTGATGGTGGTGTGCCCACCCATGTTGCTGCTGTTGAACAAGCAGTTGTGCAGGATGCTACAAAGCCGGAAGCTCCAGTTGCTGTCGTTACAGGTGCTTCCAGAGGGATTGGAAAAGCTGGATGCAAGGTGAGCTACTTTTGCTGCCTTAATTAGGTTGTCATTCTGTATGTGCAGAAAGAGTCGATTTCTTCCCCCCTCTTAAAATCGGTGCCATTTATTTCCGAAAGATGCAACTTCACATTCCTCTAACTCAAAGCAATAGATATTCTTAGATGGCCAGATATGTGGTTTTATAGTTATAACTCTCTCTGCTTGCATATGCAAATGGCTATTTCCTCCCCATTTGCACAATGCTAAATTTAACCCCAGGGACCTCACGCCGACTTTGCCTGCAGGTCCTAGTGAATTATGCACGATCCTCCAAAGAGGCTGAAGCAGTCTCCAAAGAGGTGAGCTGGTTGATTAAAACATAATATTTGCACATATATTTTGTTTAATATCTGCTTACCCGTCTGTTAATTTGCATCATACAGTTATAAGATATACGAAGACAGACTGTAACTGGTGATTGCAATAAGTATTATTAAATTAGTTAGTCTACGTTGTTCTTTCATTTGCCTCGTACAGGAATGCGTACGATTGTTATCATTTCTGACCTCTTATCTGAGTAAGAAAAAACACAGTTGTGCTGAATTTTCATTCTCATTCATGAGCAAGTGAACATGACCCTTGTGTTATGTTTCAGAGATCATACAATGCAATGTGAAATATAGTCATATGGTATTAGTTTCGGAAAATCTCATTGGCCCATTGTAATTTCTTGTTCAGACTAGTATAGATGGTAGCAATAATAGTTCACAAAGGCTAAAAGAAATCAATTGTATTTTTCTAATGTTGACTCAATAGTTATTCTGGCTAAAATATGCTGATACCGCCATTGAAACATTATTGGTTTTGGGACAGGCATCTTTTTTTTATTTGTTAAATTGATCTTTTTCTCTTCATTTTTTCTCTACTAAGCCTAAATGCACTGATCTATTTGCAATGTAATCCTCTTTTGCAGATTGAAGCAGCTGGTGGTCAGGCTATTACCTTTGGAGGAGATGTTTCTAAAGAAGCTGATGTGGAATCTATGATGAAAGCAGTAAGTTCTTTTTATGGATGGAAAATGTTTTTCCTTTTGCATATATATTGATCAGATTATACAAACTTGGTTATCATTAGTCTATGGATTTCACCAGGCTCTTGATAAATAGGGAACAATTGACATCCTGGTAAATAATGCAGGTAGGTACCAACAGTTAATTAGTTTGCACCAGTTTAGCTTTCTACTGTTAATTTTTTTCTGTATGTGAAATAACATTCCGTAACCAGGGATTACGCGAGATGCCTTGTTGATGAGGATGACGGAATCCCAGTGGCAAGAAGTAATTGGTCTAAATCTTACTGGTGTTTTCCTCTGTACAAAGGTACGTGTTCGTCCCTTTATTTCTTGAAAATTTTGTACTTGAATAATGTTTATGCTTCTCAATTACACCTGCACATTCTTTACAGGCTGCCACAAAAATAATGGCGAAGAAAAAGAAGGTTCTTGTTTTGTTTCATTCTTCGAATTGGTTTGAACATTTTTGCTACCATGCGCTACTTGTTGGAGTTTAATATTTTTGGTATGTGTTAGCCACTGGTCCTATTAATCATACACTCCCTCTGTCCCAAAATAAGTGACTCAACTTTGTACTAACTTGATGACGGAGGGAGTACTTCAATTACACCTTTGCAAGCTTCATAGCTGTATCCTTACTTCATAGCTACTAGGTGATTCAATTACACTTAACTTCATAGCTGAAGGACAAAAAGGTGGCCTCCTTACTTTGCTTTATTGTGTTTCTGAAATACTTAGAGCTGAAAGAAAATTTGTATAAGGCCATACCATGTTGCTAGTGCACCAAAGCAAGAGAAGTAGTTTATCCCTTTTAGACTTAGTAGGATACTGTGTTTGTTCTTCATAAAAGAAGCCCTGCTCAGAATCAGAAGTCAGCTAATCAATTTTTTTGTCATCCGTTATAAGATACTTATTTATATTTAATGCAGGGAAGAGTCATCAACATAGCATCAGTTGTTGGTCTTACTGGCAATGCTGGGCAAGCAAATTACAGTGCTGCCAAGGCTGGGGTCATTGGTTTCACAAAAGCAGTTGCTATGGAATTGGCAAGCAGGAATATCAATGTGATCTCTCCGTCTTTTCATTGTTAGCTCGTAACTCATAAAACCGTAGTCCAACTTCTGAACAGTTTTCAATACTCAGGTGAATGCAACCGCACCTGGATTCATCGCATCTGACATGACCGCTGAACTTGGAGAGGAGCTTGAGAAGAGAATCTTGTCAACTATTCCCTTGGGTATGCATCTTAAGCTGCAACCTCTGCTTAAAACTAGCATTGTTCATATTCTGACTGTTGTACATAAATCCTAAGTGGAGCAAAAGAAAAAAATTCTTGAGAAAAACTTACTGTATAGTATTATGTTATGTACATGTGCGCCCTTGTGCACTATATCTACTAAGTGATTTTTTCCAGTCGGCACTAATGCTTCATTCAACAACTTCACAGGGAGGTATGTCCAGCCACTGGAAGTTGCTGGGTTGGTTGAGTTCTTGGCCTTGAATCCTGGGGCGAGCTACATCACCGGACAGGTTGGTGTAATATTGACAATGTTCGTGACAATTGGTTATGTGAAACTTAACAGGTTTTTTATTGAACTATCTCTTGGCAGGTGTTTGTCATCGATGGTGGGATGGTAATGTGAAACCTTTACAAGCTTCATATATAGGTTGACATGTGCTCCACCTAGCGGGATGTTTTATGTGTGGTGCGTCCACTACCGGAACAGGGTGCTACCCCGACGGCCAAAACAATGCCGACGGCCACCGTTGGGTTCCTCGGAGATATGCCGACAGCCTGGTCCTGGCCGTCGGCGTATCCAGGCCGTCGGGTTAGACGGAGCTAAGCCGACGGCACCCGTCGGCATAGAACGGCCGTCGGCCTATCTGCAAGTACGCCGACAGCTGCCGTCGGCTTACAAGGGCCGTCGGCATAGTCGTGGGCCTGGCGACCCCGCTGTTGACGGGCGGCTAACGTCGTTAGAGCTATGCCGACGGCCGAGGCAGGGGGCCGTCGGCATAGGTCCACACGCCACGTCACCGATCCAGGCCGCACCGTCCAAAACATATGCCGACGGCTGCCGTCGGCATACCTAGCCGTCGGCATAGGTAGACTTTTTTTTCATATATATTTTTTAAGCTTTTTATGTATTATTATATCAACTAACATGTAGCATGTTAAATATAAACATACATATGAATATATATGTAGTTTTTTTTCATATATTATGAATATATATATATAGTTTGTATTTTTTCGAGCACGTTAATAATGTGCGGTCATGTTCTTTTGAATATAGATCATTATATTTTATTAAAATCAAAAACAGCTATGCCGACAAAAGTTTTGTGGCAGTTGCAAACGCCCGACACCCGTCTTCAGAGTGTGACCCCCCTCACGTCCGCGGTGTGCCCCCCTCATGGACGGCGCCGGCACCTGGAGGGGGGAAACGGACGCGTCGGGTCTACACGGTGGATGTAGCTGTGGGTTTGGCCCGGATGTTGCTCCCGGGTGTCCCTACGGGCCGACCTGACACAACCGGGGCCTCTAATAGCATTGTTGCAGAATGGTTTACTGAAAGTTTTGGACAACACAGCTGATACTGTTCTATCGACAGTTGAATCTGGCAGCTGCTTGCGCATTCAGTTCTTAATTCTACAAATGAAGATGACAAGACCATAGTTCACGGGCTGTAGATTGGCTTTATAACTCAAGCGATTTGAATACCATGCCCCTGTTTGTTTGGGCTAAAGCTTCAGGTTTTGCTACTTCTAGCTTCCTAGAAGCACAAGCTGGAACAAACATCATTCCGGACCCGGTTCTTCCTTGTGTGACCACACATCCATCTCAGCATGATCATCTTTGCTACACCTAAAAAGAGCCTCCTCAAAGCTTAACTCCCTAATTTTTTTAAACACAAATTCATTTACTTGTAAGCCATTGAGTTAAGGTTGACTACTCAAGTACTTCACTAAATGATATTTTGGGCACATAGTTCACCAGTTCCTCACTAAGAGAAAGAGAACTGGTCCAAACAGGACGACAAGAAAAAACACACACTTCAATAGATATACAATTTTGACTGCTTCTACAAGTCCAATCAATAATTTCTCCATCTTCTTATGTTCATTGCCATCACTTTTTCCCTTCTCTATTGACTTCTCTTGTCTAGACGCTTTTTTCTTCTCTGCTTCCTCATGAAGAAATTTAGACGTTGCATCCACTGTAATCTCATTTCTAGCAATCAGTGTGCCAACAACCAATAGACCTCTCTTGATCATCGATAGACAAATGTATTCTTCTTCGCAAAACCAAAACTTGCATATATTTTTTGAGCAAATCAAAACGAAAACTTGCAACCTTTCTGCATATAGTACAATATTATATGAGCAAAACAAGCGTGTGGGCCACGTGCCAGGTACGGCCCGATTAGATATGTGCCGGGCCAGGCCCACCACGGGCCGGGCACACATGCTAACGGGCCGCCGCTGCCGCCCGGCGCGCCAGCATCGCCGCCATGCTCCGCCTCCGGGGCTGCATCCTCCCCCGCCTCCTCTCACCTCCCGCCACCCCCCTCCACCGCCTCCTCTCCGCGGCCGTTTCTCCGAGCCCTCCTAGCTTTGCCGTGGAGGAGTACCTCGTCGCCACCTGTGGCCTCACCCCAGCGCAGGCCCGCAAGGCCTCCCCCAAGCTCTCCCACCTCAAGTCCCCAGCCAACCCCGACGCCGTCCTCGCCTTCCTCGCCGGCCTTGGCCTCTCCGGCGCCGACCTCGCCACCGCCATCCGCAAGGATCCCAGGTTGCTCTGCGCGGGCGTGGAGACAACCCTGGCCCCCAATGTCGCGGAGCTCACCGGCCTGGGTCTCTCGCGTTCTGAGATCGCGCGCCTCGTCTCGATCACCGGCACCAGTTTCCGCTGCAAATCCATCGTCTCTGGACTGCACTACTGCTTGCCCCTCTTCGGCTCCTCAGAGAACCTCCTTCGGGCCCTAAAGAGTGGCTCCATTCTCTCGTCCGACCTCGAGCGAGTGGTCAAGCCCAATGTCGCCTTCCTGCGGGAGTGTGGCCTGGCTACTTGTGATATTGCCAGGCTCTGCATACCTATGCCATCGCTGCTCAGCATCAGCACGGAACGCATCCAGACAGCAGTGGCGTGCGTCGAAGGTCTTGGTGTACCCCGTGGATCTCCAATGTTCAGACATGCACTACAAGCTGTTGCATTCCTCAGCCAGGAGAAAATCACCGCCAAAGTGGAGCACTTGAAGAAAGCGTTCAGGTGGTCGGATGCCGAGGTGGGTATTGCCGTTTCTAAGGCTCCAACGTTGCTGACGAGGACCAAGGAGTCGCTGCAGCGCAGGTCTGAGTTCCTCATCTATGAGGTGTGGTTGGAACCGGCATATATTGCTTATCGTCCGGCAATGCTCACTTACAGCTTGGAGGGCCGGCTCAGGCCCCGGTACTACGTCGTCAGATTTCTCAAGGAAAATGGATTGCTAGATCACGACCGGGACTACTATGCTGCAGTCATGATCAGCGAGAAGGTATTCGTCCAGAAGTTTATATGCCCTCATAAGGATGCTGCACCGCATCTCGCTCAAGATTATGCAACAGCTTGCAGAGGGGAGGTTCCAGCTAGATTCAGTTTTACATGAACCAAGACTAATAAGAAAATTGGTATGTTCATTATGTCATTCAGTAGAGAAGAAACCATCACACTGCTGTGAAATGGCCATTTCAGTTTTGAATGCAATCCTCAATCAATATTTCCATGAAAGAATGGTCTCATTTTGGCCATAAAGATGATATGAAGTCTCTACTTTTCTTTGGATGGAAATTTTGAACCTCTTTTTCCTTGGGAAACAATTTTGGATTTGTTGATGTGCTGATCACTGTTGAGGATCCAGTGGGAATACGAAGTACATAAGAAGTACATACGGATGTATATACGAAGTACATACGGATGTATATAGACATATCAATAATTCCTAAATATAAGTCTTTTTTAAAGATTTTAATACGAAGTACATACGGATGTATATAGACATATTTTAGAGTGTAGATTCACTCATTTTGTTCCGTATGTAGTCCATAATTGAAATCTCTAAAAAGACTTATATTTAGGAACGGAGGGAGTATCTTATAATTC